GAAGGAGGTAACGTTGTGTAAGTATCTTTTGCTGTATAGAGGTTCGATCGTTTTTTAGCACAGTAAACAGAATTTCGTCAATCTTGACATTGCCGTATTAGGTTCTTTACTACTATTGAAGCTAACTGTTGTATCACTACGTACTGCCCAGAAATAACCATTCACTATTCCTCAGGCTCAGACTTAGCGTTGCTCAATGAAAGCTACATCTGGGTTTTTTCCCTAATCTTAAACGATTCACAGTGACAGTCGAGTATGGAATGTTTGCATTTACTGCGAAACTTTCTCTGAAGATTTTCAAATTTTTGATCATAATTTAGTCCTTTTAAGGTCAAATATGATATTTGTTTTTTTTTCAGAATATTTGTGGAAAGCATTCATCATCAAACCACAAGTTTTCACCGAAAATAAAAATGCCTTGATTTTTTTAAAGTTTGTCTTCAAATGAAACCATTTTTTTTAACTTTCATCCAGTGCAAATAAAGAAATTCCTTATAATAAAGTTTGCAGAGATGAATTTTTAAGATAAAAGTAACATAGAATTTTCACTGAAAACTATTATACCGAACATTTCTGTCAAACAGGAAAAATTCTTTGCAGCCGTTCTCAAGTTCACAATGTTCATGTTATTAAAAAAAGCTAATCCTATTCCTGAAGAAAAAAAAATTAGAATATCTAGCCCCGTATTTTTACGGTAGTTTTGATGTGTGATCATTCAATCATGTCAGGTAGAACAAAAAGTAATTATAGAACAGGAGGAAAAACATTTCATCTTTGAAAAAATTCAGAATGAGCAGTTGCATGGAAACTCTGTATTTACATCGAAAAACATAGATATTTGATAGGAATTTGGACATGACGATTTTCGGGATTTGCTATCGGTTGCAAATATCGGAATTCTATTTTTAAATCTATCAATGCTTCAGACGTTTCTGATAAAAAGTGGCACCTCTCTTGTAATGCATATTAAAAATATTTTGTTATGTCAGGTTTACCTATGAAAACTTGGCAAATAGTTATGACGGCTATCATTTTCGATTCTCTGCACAACCAAGTATCAAAAGTAATTGTACATGTGCATTTGATGACAAATGTACGTATGAAATGAGTTTCTACAGATATTATCAATATCAATTCCCAAAAATGATTTTTTCCATTCCAAATCTTTTTATTGGATGTTCCTATATGGATTCTGTTCGCCTATCGTCAATCGAATGTTTTTTTGACGAATCATGCTTGAACATCGTGATGGAGCTACTGGCTGAATATATAGTACCATGCATAAACACATCGATTCTCTCATCCAATGGCAGTCAATTTTTACCTAATACAACAATGAGCCATATTATAGATGCTCTTATGATCGATCAATGGAATGTGAATATTGAGTACAAACGCTACTACAACCAATGTGAACCGCTACAGTGTTCATACACATATACAACACGGGGTGATCTGCTGTATATATTCTCAACAATACTTGGCATATTTGGTGGACTTATCATCGTTCTCAAAATAGTAGTACAAATCATTGTTAGACCAATACGCAATCGAATGCAATCACAAATCAAAAATACTAATACGATAGGCAAGTCGTTGCAAATTTTAGTAGAAAGTCTATTATAGAGAGGCTACATCCTAGAAAAATTGAATGCAGTCTGAGTAGCGTGTTTGATATCCGATCGTCACGTAGCAATCAAGAATGCATGAATGGAATATATGCCAAGAGAAGAAGCAGCAAACCAGACAGAATACGACTAGATGGTGCCCCTATTCCCTCATGTCTATCTTTGATGATCCTGATTTGATAAATATCAACATCGCTTAAAATTCATTCCCGTTTTCACTCATAGAGCGAACTTCTGTGTGGTATTCTGTTTCGATTTCTTAGAAAACTACCATTTCTTTTCGTCAAGAATCCTTTTTTGAATATCGTTGGACGGAGATTTCTAATGAAAATGGAACTCATAAAATGAGTCCGTATTGTCACTGCCTCTGAGATTCTATCTTACGTACCGAGCATGAGAATCTTTATCGCATTCCGTACCATCGAACAGTGTATGACTCCAGGGAAAATCTTTTCTGTCTACGTCTTACATTTTGGATACTTTATTGGCTTAACACTTGTTGATCCCACTGCGCTTTTAGTGAAAGCATTGAATATCATGAGTCTTTTTCTTTTAGCTCAGTTTAATTTTCTTGATCGTATACGTTATCTAAAATATCGGCTTAACGAACGTGCAGTGCAATTTAATCTCTTTGAAAGTAAGCTATCGTGGAATGATAATGAACGTCGTCATTCAGAAATAATTACTACTCGAATCTATTTGCTTTTGCTCTCTGCCTGCATGATTATCGCGTCAGTTTACACATCAAGCATCGTTCAAACTCGAACTTTTACCGTGAACAACCCATCCATACCAACTTTCGATCAACTTTACTCGAATCCACGCTACTTACCTACTCTGGATTGTCCCTGCCGAAACCTTACTATACCGTACAATAGTTTTCTTCAGGTTTCTCCCTATTTTCATCAAATTTGCTCAAGTGATTTTGTCATCTCAAATGCCCAATGGATTAAACTTTTTTCTCCATTTATATTCAATTCTAGCTTTACCTACGACGACTTTCGAATTTTTTTAGTACCACAGTTTCGAGGACTTGCTTCTCTGTGCGCTATTGCTCAAGTAACAGTAACCGACGGACTATTTATATTTATGTCAAATACACTTATTAGTAAACGGGTCGAGTCTATAAGTACCATCCAGCCACAAATAACTTCGGCTCTGGCGCATTTTCACTCATCAACAGGTGAAGCATTCATTCTGATGTTGAATTACGTTAAAGACATAATGAAGGGCAACCGAATAATCTCATCGATACTATCCAATTGGTATCTTGATGATTACACAACAGACTATGGCATATCCGGTATAATACCTACCATATTATCGCGTTCATATGCAAATGGTACCTGCATTTGTGGTCAGAGCTCAGAATGTTTATCTCCGTTAGTTATCGACGAATGGTTAGTTCCAGGACTTTGGGTGGGATGTGATCCAATGGAATCTCTTCTACAATCCACCCTCGAATGTCTCTATGATGTAACATGTATCGACAAAATCAAGCCCCATGATACTACATCAAATATGATGTTTCGTGCTCTTGACTCTATACTATCATCTTCCAATGTCACCGTTCAGTCTCTGGTCGATGTGCTTATGGTTGATCAATGGGAAACAAATGTCATTTATGAGCATTACTATAGAGCATGTGCTCCTCTTTATTGTATCTATTCACTCGACATGCGATTTGATAAAGTATATGTTTTCACAACCGTTATGGGTCTCTCCGGAGGGTTGACAGTTGCACTTAAATTGATCATTCCACTTGCAGTCAAACTTTGGCAGCATATTCAAATGTATCGTCGAAGACTTGTTCGACCGATGGTCAATATAATTGCATAAAACATTTCAAAAACTGGCTTTTGATGTTGTGTGTGAAAAACTATTGAATGGATGTCAACTTTTACTACGATTATATCATTTTCTTTAAGAAAGAGTCTGCTGTAATAAAGCCTTGAATGTCTATCTAACTATCTGTTTCATCCTATTGAAAATCAATGTTAGAAAATCGCTGAAAACTAGAATACGATATTTGATACGAAACTTGGACGCCATGGTTTTATTCAGATTTAGGTGTATGCTAGTGATCCGAACAACAGCAACAGTCAACTGACTTCACTGAAAGGTTCATTAGAGATTCTACACAACTAAAAGTTTCATTGACGCTCTCTGCACCATCAACGATTCCATTAGAGTTCTCACTAATAGTTATTGCATTAGGTAATCTCGAAATATATTCAAATTTTTAAAGACAAAAAATTCTTTTTAAGATAGTTTTGCATCGAATAAAATCAAAATAAAACATATGATTCTTAATAATTTCTTTGTGGAAAAAACAATATATTCACCATTTTTTAGTTCTAACTAATTATTCATATTCTTATCTTTTGTCATTGGTTATATAATAAAAACAAAGCATTATTAAATCTATACAAACATATAGTTTCAGGTAACGATCGAACAAGGAAGAAAAAAAATATCGCAAAGACATGAAAAAAAGGCTCAAAATGTTATACCAGTTAACTATTGTCACATCATCAAAAGGCAACTCAAGATATTAATTTCCCTCAAGACATATAATATCCTAGAACTATATTAAAGCAGATGATACGACAAGCTTTTTTCAAAATTTGAAAGATATAGTAAGAAAACAATAAACATTAGACTTTACAAAACAACATCTGATGTAATTGATTTCATTAGAAAGATGAGAAACACATCAGCATAGTTCTTTCCAATTTGAAACAAAATCGACAAATAAATAATAATTACCGATTGATTTTATCGTATGACTGATTCTTAGTCGACAAAAAGGACCTGTCAAAATTTTCCGAAAGAAATAAAGAATTCTTTATTTAAATAATGAATTGAATTCAGCTTGTTGAGAATACAGTGTCAAATTAAGTATTTATGTATCCTTCACATGATATAACATCAGTACTTATTATTTTGTCACTAGTATTTTGTCTTGTCCTTCTGTCCTGAATTATCAATTAAGTGAAAACTATTTGGTTGAAATGACCTTTTTTTCTCTAGAACACATGTTAAATATCTTATTCAGCATGAACATTGAAAAAACGCCACTGCTCCGACAATTGAGTTTACACTTCCAAGAGTTTGTGCTTACTGTAAGATATATTTCAAAAAGTCCATGTTTGCTCTCATGGAATTTAAAAAAAAAACTTTCTCCTTGAACGAGAAAATGCGGATAGAACTGTGCAAACGATACTTGTCTCTGATGTTTATGATATATTGAATAATGCAAGCAGTAAGTGTTGATATCAATGTAATAATTGATGACAATCGTATTTCTAGAAGGTTGTTGATATAATATAGGACAGAGAAAAATATATCTACATTTGGTCTATCATAATCATGAAGATTATTTGTTGTTTATTATTATTTATTCTTCTGATTAAATATATAGAAGCAAAAAAAGTTCATCGTACGTATGTAGTTGTACGAAATGCAACAGCTCCTGGAAAACCAATGTATGGATTTAAAATATTCGATTCAAAAGAAAAAACGTGTTTATATCGAATAAGAGTTTCGTCGAAGGCTGTGGATAGTGCTATACTTGTTGATAATTTTGAAAAGAATATAATGGCTAATCTTGAAGGTATATGGATAGAAAAATTACTTAACGTTACGTTTTCTATTTATGATTCAAAGTTAAATAAATGGACAGATGGATTTATACAACGAAATGCTCATTTAATTTCTGTTGATTATATAATTCAATTTAATAATCAGCAACTAATTGCAACATCGAATAACTATTTTAAAAAAGTCAACGTTTATAATAAAAAGAAAAAAGAATTATTAGCTCAATTTCAATATCGTACTCGATGGCTATCTCAGAGACCGGTCAAATATGATTTGAAAATCTATTCAAATCAAGTACCTGATGCTATTTATTTTTTCTTAGTATTAATTTTGGATCATCGAGGCCATGCTGGCGATACCTAATTACATTGAATTTAATTATTTGCATACTTTATTTAAATAATACACAGTTGAAGAATTATTTGCATCTTTTTGTTTACTGAATGAAGATTACGATTATTTTTATCAATAAAGCTTCTATCAAATTTTTAGTTTTCTTTAGTACATTGTTGTAAAACTTTTACAATAATTTTCAAAATAAATCGTTATTGGTTAGAGAGATGAAATCGAATCTGAATGACAACTATTTTTGTTATAAATGATAGTTTTCTGTAGATTTTCTTTGATTTTTTTGAATTTAAATGTATATGATATTGTTGTTTAGATACTACGAAATCAAATCATTTTTAAATTTCTTAGGCTAGTTGTTTTAATGAAAAAAATCGTACTTGAAATTGTGCACAAAATGGTTCGGACAAAGAAATAGATACTCTTTCTCAACGAAAAATTGGTGAAAGTAGTAGAAACTAGGAAGCAGAAAGCCTGCATCCTACTGTTCTTCTGAGTATTTAGACCGACAGCAGCGTCCTTACGGCAGGAACTCTGGCAAAGTTGTTACGTAGTCCTAATCCATAGTTTCAACCAATTCATTCCATAAACTTTAATATAATGGGCACAAAATCAGCGGAATTTGTTGGCTAACAGGTCTTTAGAATGAATGGAAGCTAATTATCGAAACACCATTTTCGACTCAAGAAATATGAGTGAACTTTGGGATTATGAAACAGTTTGCTTTCTTTCACATGATTCTCCTAGAAACCATCATTTAAGTATAAATTTTCTATTATAACACTCAAATATATTTGGAATTATGTGTAAAATATCCGTCTTTATCTCTTATTGTGTACTCAAAAAGTGAGTACACTCTAGAATCGGTCAGTGTGTCCGGCCGTCCGTCCGGCCGTTAACACGATAACTTTTGAAAGGAGAGTCCGATCGCGATGAAATTTTCTACACAGTTTAGTCTTAACAATATCTCGGTCGAGTTCGAAGATGAGAATGATTGGCCGAACTATTGCTGAGTTATAGCAAAAATAGCCATTTTTCCCTATGAGAAGATAGACCCTTCTCTACATTCATAAAAACATTTTCCTATCATAGTCATATAAAACTCCAACTATTATATACCATTCGATAGAGAATTTCACGAGCTACAAAATGGTATATAAAACATAAAGAAACAAGAAAGCTAACTCGCCTATTGCAAAGATAATTAATCGGAATTCGGTTCTGTTTTTGTCCACGCTCTATGTGATCCACAATTAGAGCTCTATCTTCCCATCACAGAGATGATAGTTCGAGGTTTTCTAGAATGGAGAACTCGAATCTATGTTCCATTCGCCTCGAAATCCCATTGGTTGAGCAGTGACCAACAGAAATCAAGTTATAAGAAAAACGAGTTTCTTAGGGTAAATCAAGGTGAAGAGTTCAAATCTGAGCTGTATTTGCCTCCAAATCGTTTTGGCTGAGCAATAGCCAATAGAAATTAAGTGTTTACAGAAAGGGTTTGCCAGGACAATTTTGATGTCCACACATTCTAGGGTAACTCATCTGTCTCATTCACTTTTTGAAGTACACATAACTCTCGGATTTAAATCCGAGGTTTCCACATTTATATATCTTTATTTTTTGCTCATATTAGTCACATATTGTTTCCGACATGAGTTTCAACGCTCTCATTGTGAAGTAAGTTTATAAAGTATTCAATTGTCATTGTAGAAATGAAGAGCATTAGCTATTCTTAGATTAGCATAGAACACGTTTGGTTTACCCTACATTGCCATAAAAACTACTCTAATGGAAATACTCATCAAGCGAGTACCACTTGCTAGCATAAGTACTCACATTCTCGTTTTTTGGCAGAATGCATAACAAAATACCAATGTACTATCATAAACAAAAATAAAATAAATTGATATAAAACAGGAAAATGATGATATTAAATGAAAAATAGAAAAGAAATACTTTGATCACTCGTCTACTTTATCGTCCATTTTTAACTAATGAGCCACTCCTACGTGTATGTAGATACATAAACAATAATTCATCCAATTTTAATCCCTAGATTTTAAATGAAATATCGTTTTAGATTAGTATACAATATTTCGGATAAATTAAGAAAGTTAATGAAACAAATAATGAATAATAATAATTTCTGATATAAATCAATTAGATTTCAATATTCTGAAAGTACGTTCGTTCTACCAAAGACAGTAAATTTATTTGTTATTTATTTTTCTGTATTACTAAATGAAACTTAGTTATTAGTTTAAAATGTTCGTTTGTTTTTTTTTCGTAATGACCTGTTCGATACGTTTATTGTTTATCGCATGTCTTAATTTCGAGAAAAATTCAAGATTCACCTGCCGTTAAGAATATTGTATTGTCTTCAAAATATTTTTTTTATGCAATGTTAAAATCTTATTACGTACGCTTGTAACTCATTAGTAATTAATAAAATAAAATGAATATCGTACAACAATATTGAACAAAATATAGGTCTATGAGTATTTTACAAAATGACATGGTAAGTATTTGGTAGTCGTATTCAAATATTGAGATTCTAGCATGAGTACTACCAATGAGTACACAAAGTCAGACGAAAAAAAAAACTTTTCTAGTGTTCCATGTTGAAAATGGTCTTCACTCTGGACTATAGACTTATATTTCGTTGTAATGAATATAATAAAATAAATGATTCTCTCAGTACTTTATTGATATCTCGAGCCGCATAATTTTTATCTTTTTTGAACAGATTTACCTGGGAATTCTATACAAAACGGTCTAATCATCTAAACCAATACATGGTTCTCTCTCTCTCTCTAAATATAAAGAAAGAGATCACAAACGATTTTGTAAATCTTCATTTTGTTTCTCAGACAAAATATAGTGTTATTTTTCAAGTATCTCAGATTTGGTGATGACATGTTTATAATGCATTTTAGGAATTAATCTATTGTAAATAATTATCTTAGGTAGACTAGAAAATATAAAGAAGTCATAAGTATGTTGTACTCACAAGCAAAACACTGTAAGAATAAAAATTGTTTCTCTTTTAAAAACGTTTCTAATTATGACGACAAGAATCTTGTTAATGCAAACATTTATTAGATTATATAATCTCGAAATATGTCTCACTTTAAGAAGAAAAACAAAATTCTTCTGAGAAGAATAAAATATGTAATTCTTAACAATTTTTTTATAGACAAAATAGTATATTTATTATTTTAAGAATTCAACTAGGTAGGAAAAAAAATCAGAAAGACGAAAAAAAGAAAGCACAAAGCGTAATAACGCTTAACTGCTGTCGCATCACATCAAAGAACAACTCAAGGTATTGATTTTCTTCATAATCTAAACTATTCTTTAATAATGTTATATCGAATGTTGCGACAAGCTTGTTTGAAAGTTTGCAAATATGAAAAAACAATAATAAACATAAGATCTTAGATGATATAACACCAGGACTTTTTCTTATCCGTAATTATTTTCTCTTCTCGCTCTATCCTGAATTATCAATTAAGTAAAAAGTATTTAGTTGAAGTAACATTTTTCTATTTAATGTCAATGTTCAATATTTTGTTCGACGTGAAGATTGAAGAAATGACACTGCTCTGATAATCGAGTTAAACCTTCTCAGAGTTTATATAGCCCAAAAAAGTAGATGTTTGCCTTCAAGAAATGGTGAAAATTTTCTTTCTAGATAAGAAAGTCTAGATAAAACATTGCAAACGCTATTTGTTTTTTGTTTTTATGATAAATTGAATAATGCAACCAGTAAGTGTTGAGAGTAATATAATAATTGATGACAATCCAATTTCTAGAAGGTTGGCATAATATGGGGTAGCAATGAAGATACATCAGCATTTAATCTATGATCATCATGAAGATTATTTCTTGTTTACTATTATTTATTCTTCTTATTAAGTATATTGAATCGAAAAAAGCGATTCGTACGTATGTACTGGTAGAAAATGCAAGAAGCAGTCGATTGGAATTAAATGGATTTACAATATTTGATTCAAAAGAAAAAACAAGTTTATATCAACTAACAGCATCAAGAAGTGATATCGATAGTGCTGTACTTTTTGATAATTCTGGAAACAAAATGATCGCAAATCTTGAAGGTATATGGATAGGTACTAAAGTTAATGTTACATTTTCTATTTATGATTCAAAGTTAAATAAATGGACGGATGGAATTATACGAAGAACTGCTCATTGGTTTTCTGTTGATTTTATTGTTGAATATAATAATGAACAAGTGATTGCAAATCGAAAAAGTAATGTGAGAAAAGTAAAAGTTTATCACAAAAAGAAAAATGAATTATTAGCTGAATTTCGACTTCGTCCTCAACGGATATCTGTGGCACCTCATAAATATGATATGGAAATCTATTCGAATAAAGCACCTGATGCTATTCATTTTTTCTTATTATTAATTATCGACCATCGAATACAATGAATCAGCAGCTAATTAAATTGACATTAATTATTTGCATGCTTTCTTTAAATAATACACAAATGAAGATTTATTTGTAGCTTGTATTTACTGGAAACAGAATAAATCTTTTTTTTTTAGTAATAAAATTTCTTCTTAATTATCATTAGGATTGGAAATATTTTTTAATGAAAAAATAACACTTGAGGTCCTTCCCAAAATGTCCAGGTGAAGAAATACATACTGTTTTCGATCAGAAAACTCGAGAATATAGTAGGAACTTGGAAGCAGGAATGGTGGGGTGAGTACGTGAGAGACGAGATACACTTCCACAAACCCACATCCAAATAGTTTCAATATTACTAATTGAAGTTGTGGTTAACATAGTAGCGGATATAATTTGTTTCTGATTACCGTTAGAAAAAGTTTGCGTAGCGAAGTTCATAAGTTGTGTAGTATAATTGCTATCTGGCTTTCGTTTCGTTGAGCCTCGTCGTTTTTCAACATATTCATAATGATCACATTTATATTTGTTTTCAAGGGCTTTCAGCCGCTTCATAATTTTGCTTTCAACTTCCGATAGTGATACTCGTTTTATTTGGCTTCTTTCCACAACAAATCGTCCCGTTCATACACATGACATGCGCTTATATAGCAAAGATGGACAATGAACGGTAGTAAAGTGCAGTGGTCACAAGGTCAATAGAAAAAAGGAAAACAATGTATTCTTTTTTTCGAGATCTATTACTCTTCGATTGAGCTTCTTTTATTTCTCGTGACGTTTCAGCATTGAAGATGCCTTCTTCAGATGAAATAACAAACAAATGAAGACGTACATATTCGATTACGTGCATACATTCTATTCCCTCTTATTCTATTCGTAATAGTCGGTCAGTAGAATGGTGATACTGGTGAGTGTGTTACTAGCAGATTAAGATTCTGCCGATCCAGTATCAAGAATAAAATAAGAGAAAAGAGAATGTATGCATGTAATCGAATGTACACGTCTTCACTTGTTTATTATTTCGTCTGAAGAAGGGATTGTCGATATTGAAATGTTGTGAGAAATAAAAGAAGCCCAACCGAAGAGTAATGTCAAAAACCAGAACCTTTCCTCTCAATCGTAATCAAGTGAATTGCTTGTTGATAATAAGTATCGCATTCTGCTAAAAAGAAACTCATCTAAACGATATTGTACGAGATGTTTACATGCGTTGAGAAGTAGAAAGACCGAATCCAATGCATTGATTCATGTTAAACAACTGCGTTCCTGTAATTTACAATTTTGATGTCAAGAGTTTGACACATGCCTAGTCACTAATGACTATTCACCCACGATTTTTGCTAAATCTCTAGAATTCTAAATTCTGCAACTGCTGTTTGTTTCACTCGATCTCATATATTCAATGTTGAAAAAGATGATTTTCAGGTTTAACGAACTAACGAAAGTCAAGTTGTTCTCACTTCAAAATGCTGTTGTCTGATTCTGCTGTTTCAAAATAATAGTATGAGTCTAATTTGTCAAACCTTCTTGTTTATTCAATGGAGAAGTATTAAAAAAAAATGAAAACAATCGATGTATTTTTTCTTTCAACAAAATCGACGCATACAAAGTAGAAGATTCGGATCGATTTGACAAATATCCCGCCAAAAAAGAACGTTGATGCACTCATCGTCATTGCCTTGGAAAGAATAAGAACGACAAAAAAAAACAGATGTTTTCAATCTTATGATCCATGATGATAAGTATAGAAAAAAATGATCTTGCAAACAGTGAAAAAAACCATGTTATTCTGGTTGGTGGTTCTCAGGTAAATGTCAATTCTTTTGTCTTCAATCCGTATCTTTTCTCTTTTGCAGTTTGCCAGGTATAGATTGATGTGTATTTGAATTATTTATCAAAAATAGTCTCTTTGAATAGTTCAATTACTAAGTCAATCTTGTAACGAATTGTCTCAATATGAAAAGTGTTCGTCAAATTCAGCCTGTGGTTGTTTTCATTCGACTGATGGAAATACTTTTTGTGGATTTATTTATGTGACCTGTTCGGAATTAGTATCTTGTTTAGGCAATAATCGAACATGTTTTCAACCGGGTACTGTTTGTGTTCAACATCCACGATGTCATTCACGTCCAGTTTGTTATCCATCAAAAATGGCTCAAATCTGTCCATCAATTCCAACGACAACAATGCGTAGGATCATTACCATTCGAGCATTTATTTTTAGAAACATAAGTGAAATGAAATCATTTTTAACTTAAAAAATGCATATTTTTTCAAAATTTTTTGAAGTTGATATAGGAGAAAAACATTTTCTTTTGGGATAATGACCAAAATTATCTTGAATTATTCATTTTTACAAATCGTTTCTTCTTAGACAAACAAGAATCGTTGAAAAGTATGCGAATTTTTGGAAAAATGAAAATATTTAAAACTTCGTTTTAGTCCCGCTGGTACACAAGATCTCTTCGAAAAATAGAATCGAAATCGAAATTACTATACGAAATCTTCGGTATCATTGTCAGAGCGTTCAGCTGAATTCAGTTTCTTTTTTAGATTTGATGGTATTAAAATCGGAAGTGGAATGGAATTTCCTTTTTAAAATTTTTGGTAGATATCTTCAAACAAGTCTATTTCATTTTTATTTCAGTTGAGCCACTTTTTATGGCCTGACTCGACCCAGGCCTAAAAGAAACTTCGTTTATAAAGGTTTTTCTTCTTAAAAGACAGCTATTCCATATTTTTCGGCTTTTATAAAAAGTGATGACCAACAGAAGTAGCATGGAGAAGCTTCTTCCATCCTCCCTCAGAAGTGAGCCAAACCTCAGAAAAAATGATGTCAAAACAGGATAATAAATCGTCGGGCCGGTCCGGCCCATTTCGAGGCCTGATAAGTACTTAGTTCATCTATTGTGCATTATCCAATTCAATGAGGAGAATACGTGATCAATAAAAACCAATTCAGAAAAGGCTATATCTTTCGAGATGTTCCAGTGCTACACTGAGTGTATTCGATCTCTTTTTTATATTTGTAGCTTCAATTTGTTTGCAAGCAAAATGGTCTTCGAACGGAATAACTGTTGCGGGTGGGAATGGTGCAGGTGATGCTTTGAATCAATTGCAATTTCCCGTTGGAGTCGTTGTCGATCATAAAGACGATTCGATCTATATTTCTGATGAATATAATTCTCGTGTTATGAAATGGATACCTGATGCAAAAAGTGGAACTGTAGTTGCTGGTGGAAATGGACGTGGAAATGAAAGCAATATGTTGAATACTGCAACACAAATATTTCTCGATAAAAAAGATGGAAGTTTATTGATTTGTGATCAAGTTAATAAACGTGTTCAACGTTGGCGAAAGAATTCAACAAATGGAGAAACTATTTTTTCCAATATTCCATGTGTCGGATTGGCAATGGATAGTGAAGGATCATTTTATGCAACGGAATGGGATGATAGTCGAGTGACAAAATGGCATCTTGGTGACACAAAAAGTCAAATAGTTGCTGGAGGAAATGGAAAAGGTTCTGGACTCGATCAATTTGATCATCCATCGTATTTATTTGTTGACCAAAATCAAACATTATTCATTGCTGATCAATGGAATAATCGAATAATTAAATGGTTAAAAGGTGCTAAGCAAGGAATTGTTGTTGCTGGTGACAATGATGAAGGTCAAAATATGAATCAATTGATTTTTCCTACTTCAGTTATTGTTGATCAACTGGGTACACTCTATATAACAGATACAAATAATAATCGTCTTCAACGTTGGTTCAAAGATGCAACATCAGCTAATGTTACTATTGTTGGAGGAATCGAAGAAGAATCGGGACATGATCGACTGTCATTTCCGAACGATGTTGCATTTGATCGATATGGAAATTTGTATGTTGTTGATCATTACAATCATCGTGTTCAAATGTTTAAAATCGATATATCTGATTGTCAGAAATCGATCACATGACATTGTTAAAATCGAATTCAAATAAAATTAGATTGTCTTTGTTTTTCATCTGATGCATATCTCAGTGCATGCAGTCATATTGTTATGAATAGAGCGATTACTTTTCTTAATCAAATAAGATCGAATTCCTTCAATGATGAAAAAAAATGATTTCCGAAGGAAACTCGACAACGTGAATCGTTTGTAGAAATTTACGAACCTTAGAAAAAATTCCAGTCAAACGATCATACTATTTGTCAAAGATTAATAACAAAATCTGAGGCATGTAGAAAATGTTTGGGGGTTAAACTGTTACCGAGTTAGTAGATAATCTATGTTGTGTGAATGCGAAGCTTTTAGTTGCATGAACTAATACTATCTCATGAGCATTTGTTTTAACAAGATGTACTATTGCTTTTGCAAAATTAGGTGCAGTTTTAAATCAAGATAAAACTAGTATAAGTCAAAGTATTATATCAGAGTGATAAGTCATTTCAGAGTTATTCATTATATTTGTTCAATGAAAAAGTATACTTACTTCTTGTAAACGAATATAACTAAAACAAAATACAAATCATTGGTGAATCATGTCCAACAAGAGACTATCAGTATGTATTACATAAATTCAAAACTATAAGACTTATTATCTATTAATAGTATATAGCATATTACAACTATATAAAACAAGAAACATAATTCTAAAGAGTAAATCATCATCCTCAGTTGATCTCGTATCTTAAGTAGTTGTTTTCACCATAGTTTTTCTTATCTAAAAAGAATAAAAATTAATAACTAGAACTGGGGCTCGAAATGGGCCGCCCGGCGTAATGAAACTGTTTTGTCGGGCCAGACTAGCCCGACATTTTTGTTGTTTTTTTCAAGTTTTTAGTAAACTATATGTCCATTCTAAAAACTCGAAACTATCATGAATGTTTTATGATAGAAAAAGTATCTAAGATTCAATCCAGTGACTTGAAAAATAAATAAATGCCATTTGGAATAATGAAACGAAAACTCATTTTGATATATTTCCAAGTTCATTGATTAAAGTGGCCATTTTCATCAATTAAAATCAGTTACACTTAAAAAAAGATGAACAATATCGATGTGTGTGTCATTGAGTCATTTATGTTAAAAAACAAGATTCTGAAAGCAATTTATTTTGCTATTTGACACATTCGAACAAACTAAAATCTGTTCAATTCATTTCAAAGAAAGGGAACCAATTTTTTTACTCTAAGTTATTATTGACTACACAATTGGCTCCTAAAAGCAAGCAATTGACATTTTTGAAGTAAACAAGTATCGAATTCATGTTTTTCACTTCTTAAATCCAATGGTATAATTTAACAACTGGAACGTTTTTTTTTACGAAACTATACAAGTGCTTTATTTTTGTTCGATAACCAACACTAACATAGAATATTTTCCTTATTGTTTAGAAATGCATATTCTCATCGTGGATATTCACACAAAATGTTATTCGGCAAATTATTCAAGAGAACCATTCTTGATTGATATTCACCCGTCTTTCACTATTAAACAGGTCAAAGACAAAATTGCGGAACATATTAATGTATCTTCAATGCATCAATTTTTAAGCTTCCGGAGGTCGAACACTTGAAGATGATCGTACTCTTGCATTGTATGATGGTATTAAAGATGGAAGCGCTCTTTGGATGGTTATATTCCCTAACGTTTCTCGTGAAAAATACCATGTGCTTGTTTTAATTGATACTACTAATGACGAGCGTAAAATCATTGATTTAGACATTTTCTTTTATGATACAGTGGCACAAGTAAAACAGGCTATCTATGAAAGCACTTCCATACTTCCTGAAGATCAAAGAATTATTTTTCCAGGCAAACAGATTGAAGATGCTCGAGTTTTCTCGGATTATGGTATTATGAACGGGAGTACTGTATATCGAGTGATTAAAAAGGATATTTAATATTTAATCAATTGTTTTTTTTTTGTTTCTCTTAATTTAATAAATGAAATGTCTTATTGTTTATAAACTTATCGAATTTTTAATGAAGAATATGAAATATGTAGAATAATCATGGATATTATAGCACTTACAGCTTGTGTCCAGTCTAATACTTATTCATTTTATTCAAATGATTGGCAATCGTTCAGCTGAAAGTGCAAGTACTTTCAAAAGGATTCTTATCAATCCAGATCCAGTTAATGTCTATTGATCACACCATTTTCACATCGTATTTATCGAATTGTTCAATAAGAGTTACTAGTTGACAGTTGTTCAACAGATATACATTCAATCGACAATTATCATTTAGAGAATCAATCCATCAGATCAATGTCAATATATCAGTGAAGTATTAAATGAGACGATTGTCAATTTTCATCTTCTTCGTCCTATGAAATACTATCATTTACCATGTCAACAAAAACAATTATCACTTCATCATTTGTCGTATTTCTATGATGATATTCATCTCTGTTTATGTCAAAACTATAGTAATCAACATTTTGCCAACTGTTTTGGATTCGCATATGAGATGAAACTTGATTGTTTCGATCAAAGTGACTGTGAAGATGAAGCTCGTCACTTTCAAAATAGTTCCAACTGTGCTCAAACTTCGACCTGTGTTTGTTTTAAATGTTTCTATGGCAAATGATGTCAATTCAGTACAAGTGTCTTTGATCTTTTACTTGATGTGATTTTAGGCTATCATATTTTACCTTATGTAAGTCTTTTTCATCAACTATTTGCTGTAAAAATTAATGTAGTATTGACTGTAGTGACGGTTGCAGCAGAACTTGTCAGTGGTATTCTTCCTTTGATCACATTTCAGAACAAGAAACTATGTGAAATTGAATGTAGCTTTTATCATTTAGGTTCATTGATCATAACTCTTTTGACAATGACTATGTTTACATTAAAGTTTTTGGATTTTTGTTTGTGAACAGATGTGATTGTTTGTCAAAGGACTATTCCTTCGTGTTCAATGCATTTCAATCGATTTTCTTCTTCGAGTACGTCTAAATATGGATCAACGGTTGATTGTATGTGTGGCCACCAGAAGAGCGATAACCACTATCAAAAGGATTCCATGACAGATGCTCCCCGAACATTTGCTTTCGCGACACGGGCGTGTGTGCGAGTGGGCAAAGAAGTGACGGACATTCACAGTCATTGCATCTCTTACACCTACATTCACAGGCGCATCCACACTTACATCCCCATAGTCACACTCACATTCGCACCTACACACACTCACACTTGCACCCACATCTATCCATATTCACACTCGCGCCCACACCCATACTTGCATCTACACCCACACTCACATCTATAACCCCGTCGCGAGAGCAAATGTCGTGAAAGCAAGTGCGCGAGGAGCAAGTGTTCCGGAAGCATCTGTCTGAAGAGCAACAGTCGTATTACCCATAGATGAATGTGGAGTGTAGACGTGAGTTTCTTGTGCTTACACTCATGTCCGCACCTCCAATCGATTATCTGATAATAATTTTTTTTTTCGAATTTTCTGCGTTCCCTCCCATCATGGGTCTCACAGATCAGAAAAAAGAGATCTAAAACTTTTCGAGACAGATATCTCTGTCGTATGATTCAGAATGACACATTCATTCTTGCATGAGAGAAATTTTAGATCGAGAGAAGGTATCCAGAAATACCATCGACTTGGTCTCTGTTGATAATGACTTGTAAATATACAATGAAAGCAACTGTTCAGCCCTAAGATTAGCTTTCTTTTGAAAGTTTCTTTTTAAAATTCCGTAGAGCAGAAAAAGTTGTACAAATATATGCGTAGATTAGTTTGGTGTCTCTTACTTTAACTGTAACAGCAAGCATTACAATGCCAAAATTGATGTTTTTCCTGTTATGAAAATGACTAGTTCTCTATAATATGTTTCGAAGGAATAATGTAGGAGAAAATGAAAATCAATGTTGCAAAAGCTGAATGTGCTCAAAGTGTGGATGAGGATGAAAGCATTGACTACATCCACATCCACATATTCTCAATAAAAAAAAGTGTATTCGAGCAAATAAGGTCTTTCTCAAAAGAAGTTTTAGCATCATAGTAGAAGATAAACCAAAGAGGGTGATTTTTAACAATGCATGCTTTTAGGATATCCAGCATAATGAAAATAAACATCATATATAAATTTTATTTTTTTTTCATCATTTCGGTTGAAATAAAAATTCATCAGATATAAGATCATTGAAAATCTTCTGACCAAATTTGATACGTGATCATCAAAGATCATGATTATTTCGTACAATCTTATCTAACTTTTAATGTAAAATCAAAAATATTCTCAATAATCAATTGCGAGACTTTAGGAGAGAAGACAACTTATTTGTCAAAAACGTTCATTTCATTCATATCAGCAACAAACTTATTCAAATTACAAAGAATCAATAGATAAACATCATACGTATAGCAGAAAAAAAATATTTATTTATATATTAAAAAATTTTAGAATAATGATGACATATAATGAACACAACATTGTCAATGGATTCGTACAGAAGTAGCTGGTAACACTGCAACAACAGGTCTCTGTCGATATCTTTTTATTTTGCCCCATATTATTTTCCATGATTGAAGATAACGAACGTCAAGTACAGCGACAAGAATTGGATCTATTGCTATTTCTATATAATTAAGCAAAGAAGTATAAATGCCAAGTTGACTATTAACATCAATAAATTGAAAAGCAAGTACATTTGGACTCCATAATACAAGCCAAATTGAATAAAATATTATTGTGTGAATTAAAAGAGTTTTTTTATGTTTACGACGAAGATTGATTACTTGTTGACTACGAATATCTCTTATTGAACTTACATGACGAATACAACATCCAATGATTATAGTATTCAACCCAATTGGAATAATATATGTGATGAATAGATTAAACATCGCTACTGCTAAGGAAATATATACTATATCACAAGACTCTCCTGCTTGACCCAATAACATAGTCCAATTACAAAGAATTTGTATTGTGATATCAAGTGCTGGTAAAATATAAATTAAAAAATGAGTTAAAATAATTAAACAAGGATCTTTTATAAAAACATTTCGATTAAATATAATTTGTGCGCAACGACATATATTGAATGCTAATAAAATATAACTTTGTACAATGCTAGTATAAAATTTTGATGTTGCTTCAGAATAACATATGATCAACCGAAATGTTGGATATAAACAAACATTCCAATGACGCATACAATAGAAAATAAAAAATCGACCGAGAAGAAAAAAATCCGTTATTAAATATGCATGTAACCACATCATATTTCTTTGTCTTAATGCTGAAAATGGTATAAGTTGAAGCCAAAAGATAGTATGAGTAAAAACAGCAATTGAACAAACGATAACAGTAGGACTGAGACCATCGACTGAGTTTGATGACCAAGTTAACTGAGTACAATTCATCTTTTTTTTTGCTTACAACTATTTGCTATGAAAGATTTTTTATTCTGAAAGTATGTCACTCCAACAGTATTATCTTAAATATAATGATTAATGTGACAGATTAATTCTAATAAAGATCGAGAGAAAAATGAAATGCCTAATTCATTATTATTATTATTGTCATTATGTATCATCAATGTTGATGATTCTTTTTAGAAAAAAATCAGAATTCAATTAAAATCAGCACAATCTATCTTGTATATAATCTATAACTACACAAAGGATGAGCAGATCTCTTTTTTTTCTACCATATTGAAGTGATTCGAAAGAATAATAACATTTTTTTTTTGTTTTTGTTTGTTATGATATTTTTCGTTTCATTTACACGAAAATAGACCTAAGCCGGTTCGCAGTTTTCAAAATTCCAATCGAACTGAATTTCATAGGATATAACATCCGTACCCATTTTAATTTAACTTTTTCATTCTATTTTCAATGGCTTGTCATCATAATTTTCTTCACTGATTATAGAAGATTAATACTTAATAGGATTCTTTTTTGACGTTTCGATGATTTGAATATAATAAAAAAGCCTCTCCTACACATTTAGTTAATTACAACATGTAATTTTAATGTTTATATATAATTGGAAATAAAGTGGAAACAACATTTTTGCGCATTTCTTTTTTCACTTTTTTTTTTTATCGAAGACCGCTTATGACCAATATTGAAATAGTGATTTTCGCTGGTTCTCGGGACAAGCTACGAATCTACTACATTGAAAACATTAACAGTAAACTATATGAAAGAAATTGTTTTTGTTCAGCAGACAAATAGTTTAATACATTTTTATTATTTTATTGGTTTTGCTATCATCAAAAAACAGAAAAAGTTTCAAAAATATACTATTACATATAAAATTGAACGGACTACATTTTATTTATATATTTTTCTAGGAGAAAATATTGATTGTGAAAATGAAAATATAGAAAAATCTTGTCATAATTTTCAATTCTGAAGCACACTGTACAAAAAACGGGCACTGAAAACTAAAAAGAAGCTACTTATTTTTTGTTTTACAACAGTCGGTTTTCATGGAATTTTTGAAACACTCTTTGAGAATTCAGTTAGCACTGTATTAATAATTGAGAACATTAATCTTTAAGAAGAAGTTTCAAAACTCTGAAAGGCAGCACATTTTATAGAGCACAGTTTGTTTTATCAAACGAGACCTGGCTGCTTTCTGTACAATGATCTAATCTTCAAGTTAGACGGTGTTTCCAATTTTTATTAATAATTTCAACGATAATTTCTTACTATTTCTTTGTTTTATTTTACCTAAACTGTTTTCAGTGCACTGCCTGCCAGAGTTTTCAAAATATCTTCTTAAAGATCAATTTCCTCAATTATTAATACACTGTTAATTGAATTCTCAAAGAGTGCTTCACAAACCTCATGAAAACCAACTGTTGTAAAACAAAAAATAAGTAGCTTCTTTTTAGTTTTCAGTGTTCTTTTTTTATAGTGTATTTCAGAATTGAAAATTATGACAAGATTTTTCTATAATTTCATTTTCACAATCAATAGTTTTTCTAAAATATTTATAAATAAAATATAGCCTGTTCACTTTTGTATATAATAGTATATTTTTTGAAACTTTTTCTGTTCTTTGATGATGACAAAACCGATAAAATAATAAAAGTTCCTTAAACTATTTATTTGCTGGACAAAAACAATTTCCATCATACCGTTCACTGTTAATGTTTTCGTTGTAGTAGATTTGTAGCTTATCCCGAAAGCTATCGAAATCACCATTTCGATGTCGATTATAAGCGATCTTTGATGAAAAGGAGCAGAGAAAAGTACGCAAGAAATGTTGTTCTTACTTAATATCGAGTTTCGAGGATTCTGAGCAAAAATTCGATGAATACTGAAGCTAAAAATGAATGTTGTATGTTATTAACTTTGAAACGTCCTTGCAAATAACCAAAATCGTCGGATTTTTCCTGAAATACTTTGACAATTGTGGGTACTTTAAAAAGATAAATGTTTATCATCTCTCTATAAATATTTATCCATTTGAACATACTGGAAAAGTGGACGTTTTCTAGTATTAGACGGGCGAGATAAGTTTATTATATAGATATATATCTTTATGAAAATCTATGATTTTTAATAATTATTTATTATTATTATTACATTCTCATCTTCCTAAGTAAGACATAGGCATTGTGTAGTAAACTTAATTTAACTAATTACTCAAAACTTCAATACGTTTACTATACCAGAATGGTAGAATTAATTTATTTACACTTGTTTTTTCATTGAGGAATGCATTCAAGAATCTATATGAATACTTTGTGTGCGAATTATGATATCTACATTTTTTGTTCTCTTTTCTATCTTTACATTTCTGTGTGTATATTTAAACTACATCAACTTAGCAAAGAAATAATCCGAATGTTTCATATATCTGCCTGACATCTTCGTTATTGAAAATGAAACACTATTCTAACAGAAATAGTTCATCATTTGTTAGAGGTATTTTAGAATTATATATGGAAGGGTGTGGGTCTGGCTTTTAGTTTTCACATCACCCACACTCTATGGTCCGGAATTGGTGGAGAAGCCAGAAAACTTACACTCACTATTTTCTTCAAAAATGTCTATGAATTCCGCAAAAATGAACTGGACAATGAATTAATGTGATTCTGGGATCACCCAACTAGGGTGTGTACCCCTTCCAACCATTGAAATTTTTTGTTTTTTACTCGTTGAAATCGAAAATTTTTCTGATGTTCTGCTAGAAAAAGAAAATCATTTTAGAAGAATATTCCCAAAACACTTATCTCATTCTATTATTGTAAAAAGTAATACCTAGATATTGTACACTTTTATTAATAAATTTATTATTGGTAAGATTCAGTTTGTTATATTTCTATCGAATCTTGAATGTTATTTATTTTAGTATCATTAGATAAAGGATTGACTATTCTGTCAAATCATACAGTTTTCGTTTTCTATCTTGCCGAAAATTTTCAAAAACTTTCGAAAAATCAGTCAAACAAATGAATTTTCTTCAGAGCAACGTTGAAAATAGTTTTCGTTTAATATCTCTCATAATCATTATCTTTTATAATATTGAAACATTTTGTAGAAGAATAGGGTGTGGGTGTGGATGTGACTGTGAGCGTGGATGTGGTATACGGGTATGTACCTGCGTTGCATCTGCACGTACACTTACATGCCCACCCATATCTACATCTCCGTACACACACGCATCCCCACACCTACCCACCCACACCCCACTCAGAGATGGGATCGGTTCGGTTGAAAACCGAACCGAACCGACCGACCGAAACCGAAATCGATTCGGTTGGAGAGTTTTTAAAAAATCGGTCGGTTACGTTCGGTTCGGTTGGAAAGAATTGATATAATTTTTTTAAATTAAGTTCAGCGGATTTTTTTTCGATGAGATGTACCAAGAAAAAAGAGTGATTGGACGACAACTAGATGTCACTCGTAACTCAGATATTATCACGGACTTTTTTTTATTGGTTGCAAGGGGTGAGCAAGTCATAATGCAGTGTGATGATTCAATGAATAATCTTTTTCACTCTTTGTTTTCTCTAGATGTTCAGTATTTGTTGTTATTATTATTTAGTTTGTTTTGTTGTTGTTGACATTCAAGTGTTGTTGCTAGTATTCAATTTTGGTGCTAATGTTAAATTTTTTGTTAGTGGTACTCAGGTGTTATTTCTAATATTCAATTTGTTGAGTAAGTATTTTTTTTCTAATTGAATATTAAAAAAAAAAGAATTAAATATTTTAGAAATATTCATTCGAATATTATGGATGATTGTGAATGTTTGTTATTGGATTCAAACAATCAACCTTCTTCTTGTACACAACCCAGTAATTCTTCTATTTCTATGTCAACTGATTCATCAATTGAACATTATACAAAAGAATCAATAATGCTTGCTTTAAAATACAAAAAAAAAAAGAATATACAATTGTTGAAAAAAAATCTAAAGCAATTTGTTGGTCAACATTTGGCCTACCGGCCAAGATAATTGGTCCTAATAAATATGAAATAATTAAAAACTTTGCTTCATGTAAATCTTGTTTTCAAACGTATTCCTATTCTTCAAGCACAACTACTATGTCTAATCATAAATGTTTAATTTTATCAAATAAAAATCAATCAAAAATAGAACCAATACCATTAATTAAATCAAACAGTTCTACACTAAATAGTGATACAACAACAACAAGGGATAGAACTAATTCAGTTAATTGTAAATCTCTTCAAAAGCATAAATGTTTAATTACTTCTGCCATTAGTGATTGGGTATGTTCGAATACTCGTCCTATAAATATTGTTGAAGATATAGGCTTAAAAGATCTTATTGAACAATGTATCAAAACAGGTACATTATTTTTAATGCTACACAATATTCTGTATTCTTTGTTTCACCTTTTAGGTTTCGATTGTGGTCCAGTATCTGCTTCTTCAATTTTACCTTGTCGAAAAACAATATCGAAGGAAATTAAAGAAACAGCTAATATTTGACGTAATGTAATAAAAAATGTTTTAATAAAAGCTGCTCGTGAACGTTGTCTTACTCTTTCACCTGATCTATGGTCAGATCGATATAAAAAAACATCATATTTAGGTTGTACTGCACACTGGGTTGATAGTCTTTGGAATTTATATTCTTTCAAATTATTTTGTTTGCCTTATAGGCAATCTAATAAAACAGGTGCAAGTGTTTTAAAAGTAAGTCTTGATGTAGTTGTTTTGTATTCATACTGACTCTCAAATGTTCTTATAGGCTTTAGAAGAAGGTTTGTCCATATATGATTTAGTTCCATTTATGTCAGATATTATATGGGTGTGTGACGGTGGTAGTAATCTTCTTAAAGCTTTAGAGAAGTTTACTGTTGTTCGTTGTACAGCTCACCTTCTTAACAATTGTTTACAAACTATTTTTTTTCAAACAAATGCATTGAAGTTCAAGAAACATATATTATTTTCTGATCATTTTTATGATAAATCGGAAGATGAGGGTGATCTAGATAGCAACAGTGAAGATGAACAAAACGAAGATGCTTTTGACGATGATGAAATTAATGATCAACAAAAAGCATGTATCAAATATAATTCTACAGTATCAAATAAAAAAGCTAATGCTATTTCCTTAATTTCACAATTATCAACTGATGCTAAACGTATTTTAATTACAATCGTTTAAGGTAAGGAACTAGTCAAATATGTGAAGACGGTGATTTTAATAGCAGGTTTTCTTTGCTGCGAAACTAGATGATTTAAAAAAACGAAGTTACTTTGCAGACACTATAGTTTTTTCAATTTTTTCATAGATGAATTTGAATCAAGGTCTTGAAGATCGAAATTCATTTCTTCTTTTTCGATGTACAATTGTTCGATGGCTCTCTTTAATGAACTGTTTAGAGAGCGTGAACAAATCTTTAGTTTCACTTGATGAAATTTTTGAAGAAAAGAAATAAAATAAAACAAAACTTAATAGAATTAGTGTATACTTATTGAATAAATTGATTGATTTTCTTAAGCCATGGGAATATATTATGAAACGAATTCAATCATCAAAAATACCATCTATACATATAGTTACTCCTAGTATTTGTATTATCAGCTCTTCACTGGAGACCAAACCCGATGATTCAAAACCAGATAAAGGCTAGTAATTCTAACTGTTCTTTCATATTTTTCTGTTTAACTTTATTCCATTCAGGATTTGCATATTTTCGTCAAAGAGCAAAAAAATTATAAAACAAAAAATTCAATATCATCCTATTCATCTCATGGTAACATTTTTAAATCCGAAAACTCGGAAGATGAAACATTTATCCGTTGAACAACGAGAACAATGCATAGAATATATCAAACAAGAAATGTTATTATTTGATAATGATAATAGTTTTAAATTACCAACAACTCGAAAAAATTCTCAATTGTCTAAAAATCATCCGATTAAATCTATAAATGACTTTTATTCAAATGCAGAAGATAATGATGAAGATGATATCGATCAACAGTCCGCTTTACGATCCTCTTCTCATGCATTAGAAATCGAGTTGTATATTAAACAAGGATTAGATAAATCAACAAATTCAGATAAATCTCTTCAAGAAGAATATAATCCATTGTCTTTCTGGAAAAATATGCATAGTTCTTATTCTATTCTTTCAAAAATAGCTGCTCGTGTTTTTTCTGTACCGGTTTCAAGTGCGGCTGTTGAACGAGAATTTAGTCTTGCCGGTAATATCGTTACACAAAAACGTTCAACCTTATCTCCAGATGTGGTCAACGATATGGTTTTCAATCATTCATATAAGGTGTATCAACAAGGACTTGATAATACAGATAAGTTTGAATTACATTAATGTAGTATTGATTTTATTTTTTCAAAGAATTGTAAAAATGTTATTTTTGATTTCATGAAAATAAACTATAAGGATTTGTATATAATAGAATCTTTGTTTATGAAGTACTAATACCTTAATTAAAATAAGTTAAGCTTCGTTTTCCTTAAACTCGGTTTTGTTTGGTTGAGTTGGAAATTTTTCGAAATTTGGTCGGTTACGTTCGGTTCGGTTAGAGATTTTTCCGGTTACGGTCGGTTCGGTTAGGAAAAAAGGCCAACCGATCCCACCTCTGTTACCCCACCCCACGCCCATACCCCACACCCTGACTGTAGGATATATGTTGTTCAATGGATGTGCTTGATCATTCCACTCACCCAACCTCTTCATATATGTCCTCGTCGCACATCCGCTGACTTTTATAGTTAACATCCTACAGAAATTTAAATATGGTTTTCTATACTAGATTCGGAATGAAGCTCCTTGCATGAATATGAATTTTTTTGCTTGGTAGCATTCACGTAAAATATGCTTATCTGTTTAAATGTTTTACTTTTGATAAGTATAATCGTTCTTAAAACTCTTCGTACTTGATACATATCCATTTAAAATAATAAAAGATAGAAAAAGGTAGATAAGAAAAGTAACTGGTTACTATCTGGCAAAAGTGATAAACGAATCATCCGACAAGTGAAAGAAAGTGTTATATGCACTATTTGACTTAAATCGACTGCACCCTATGACAATAACATTTACTATTATTTAGTTAAAATTATTGAACTGTGAGAAATTATTTATTAGCATATTGTGAAAAGTAAAATTAAGCATTTTAAAAGTGACATATGCAGCGCCAATATCATATGAATATTGAAAAAGTTCGAAGTCGATTTAAAACTGAAGGTCTTGACCAATATTGCTTGAGTCGTTCAATTTGTCTACAGATATCACTTAGCAATTCGGTTAATTGCCACTCCCACATCTTTAATTTCTCTTCTTTGTTATTCGTGACCTATAGTTATTCGATAAAGATGGGAGTAGATGGGGATAGTTTTGGGTGAGAGTGAAGTGTCAGTGTAGTGTGAATTTGGATGAAGGTGTTGGTTTAAGCACAAATATCCGTCATCTGCTAACCGACATTCTCGTTCACACGCACAAACCCACATCCATCCGAAACCACTTCCCACACAGACTCACACCCTAATAATCATACATCTCATATTGAAAATTACTGAGCCTGCAGAAAAACTCATTCAGCACTTTACAGGTCTCACATATTTTTCAGACACGATTTTCTTAGGTTTTTTAGAAGTTTCTTACAAATGATACTATCAAAGCCCGTGATAATTTTATGACAACTAAAAGAGCAAAAAAAGAAAACTAAAATCGTACTACACTGATAAGTTTTAGATATTTTTTCTTTTACACCATGAATCCATGACGTAAATGAGTTGAACTAGAAAATAATGCAAAATTCATATAAAATCTAGCAGTAACTTCAATAGAATTTTTTATAGCTTTTCTAATACAGTTTTCATAGTCTTTCACTAAATATTTCTATTTTAGTCCTATTACAATTCTTATTACGTGATCAATTACCTTCTATAAGGGTCTACCCGAGATAATAAGAATTATAACGTCTCCGTATCGTGCATTGTATGCATGATGTTTTTCCTCTTCTTACTATTTCTTCTCATCTTATGAATTGTCCTTCTCTTTCTGTCATTACTTCGTACATCATGTTGCATTTTATCCTTCTCTTCCTTTCTTCTGTCTGATAGACGAGAATATAAGTGTATGCTTTGTATGGAAACGATGCGATTCTTGAGAAGAAGAATATAATAAAGCGTAATTCCACCAGTGTTAACACTTCTTCCATCAGAAATCGTCACAAGAATCTACTAGGGTTCACCATAGGTACTCAGAATAGGCATGTCTCAATACCAATACCAGTACGATTTGGCATTGAGTGATATTGACTGATAATTAGTATTAATTGGCGTTAGTACTTATATTAGCTAGTACCAACACCAGCCGATATCGTCATTGTTACTCATTGCCTATATCATGGAATACCAGTACCTCAATATTGTATTAGTATTGTAGCATTCCTAACTCAGAGTCTACGGTAGGTAAATAGAGTCTACTATCTGTAACCAGTGTCTTGTCGGATCTACCATAAATAACTAAGTCTATCATCAGTAACTACTTAGTGTAACATATTACGATTAACATGTTTCGTCATAGACATATATTAATAGTGCATAGTAGTTCACAAATCGAAACATATCAGATGATACAAATATTTTGCATTAATTATATTTTCATTCTCATGCAGCGTACAAATATCCTAGAGCTTTTATTTTTCTTTCACTAGAAAAAGCATAGGCTAAAGCACATACTCGTATTTTTTTTCATCTCATATATGCTTTTCTTCAGAACGAAAAAAAATTTTAAGGATAGAGAAGCATTAGGATTTTGTATTTTAACTTTCTAATGAATGCTTCAAAGAAACAGACCTCGTTCTATTTGGAGTATTAAAACAGCGTCAGGGACAGTGTAAGATGACAGATAGTTTAAAGTTTCACGAAAGATTTCTTCGATTTTTGAGGAGTCACTTTCTTGAAGATTTGGAGTATTTGAAAAGAAAAATGATAAAAAGTTCATATGAATATTTTGTTCGGCTTGTCGTAAAATAGGCACACTACATCATTGACAATTTGTTTTTAAAAAATTTTGATTATCCAGATGTAGCTCGTATTCTTCTCTTTTCATTTATATAACTTCGAATCTTTTAGAAGAACTCTGAAAAACAATAACTCAGTTTGAAAGATAGTCCACAAAATGTTATCTAGTATTGTATAAGCGAACGAGACGAGAGAAAGAGGACGACAAGTACGAGAGTGAAGAATAAAAGGTGAAGATATCATGCGAAAGTAATAACGAGCTAATCACATAGGTTGAAACCACGTGTAAGCGCATAAAAAAGAAAAAAAGTGATCATTTTTCTCTCATTTTGGGTAGTCGTGATTATAAGTAAAAAAACAACCACTTTTTTTTTCTTTTATGTTTATACGCATATTCGGCAGTTTGTAACTGACTAAGTAGTATTATTTGCAGAAACATACCAGTACTATGGCTTTTGACAACATTAACACATTGTTACCTCCTCTTTTGACTCATCCCGACTTTGAAATTGCATCTGATGAACCTCTATACAATCCTGATATTCATTTATCACCAACTGAACCTGAATTTATCGTACTACTTGATGGTTATCGGCATGTACCAAAAGCTCCTAAACTCGATAAACCAGTGGCATCAAATGGCGAAAGTCAAATAGCCTACACAGGTCCATTTCGACTGCTGAGTGATGAAGGTTATCAAGTTTTACGTAAAATTCTTCAACGTGAACTTCTGCATCAGCAAAGCAACGATCGATGGCCAGGATTTGTTCGTAATGCTGGCTATCGTAGTAAATGGATCCAAGATTTCAATCGATGTCCACGTGTACTTGAACATTTGTCTCGCATGACGGGAGATGTTAATCTCGTACCAACTGCATTCCAAAATAGTTATAGCCATATCAATATTGGCTATGCAACTGAGAAGAATATTGATTCATGGCATTGCGACAGTGTGCCCTACGTTGTAATTTTGCTTGCATGTGACATGAGTCAAACGGTTGGTGGTGAACTGCAACTTATTGAACGTGAGCCCAAAGAAGCATTTCGTCTTATTGAAGAGTACAAAGGCAAAGTGCCAAAAGATCTCATTCGACCAATCGACTATCTCGGTTCTAATTCGTGTGTATTCATGCAGGGTAAATCATGAGAAAGAGAAAGTCTATTTACTGAAATCATGAATCTAATTATTTTGTCATTTGATTTTAGGCAGTCGATTAGCACATCGAGTAACAAACATTAAATCCTGTACGGAACCTCGTATTACTGTTGTCAACTCATACATGTCAACGAATCCGTTTACGACCGAATTTACACGTTACGATACTTTTCGGAAAGAAGTCACAGCCGATTTAGAGTATGCAATGCATAAGACGTGGCGTGCCAATGCCCAAATGCTTGATCTTGCCATTGGTGGTCATCCATGGCCAACACGAGATCAAATCATTGATCGACTCACAATGGCTATCAATGAAATGAATGTCTGTCGCGAGATTCTATTAGGCACAAAATCAGATCATATTGGCTACTACGACGAACAGAAACAAGAGATAGGCAACTATGAAATGTCTTCATCTGCAAACGATAAAACAATTAATTGATTTTTCACATATTTTATTTATGCAAACAAAGTTAAAATTATTTTCGTCTTTTTAATACATATATGACAACATCAAAATAGGACTCCAGTAATTTTTTTTCTTTAACATATGAATAAATATGAGATATTTCTCATATCTATTCAAAGAAAAAACAACTTTGAGTGCTACTTTAAAATCAGATGGAGGCTCGTACTTTTTATTCGATAAGGTAAGAATCGATTAGAGAATGAAACAATGTGAATAGATTTTGAAAAAGAAGACACGATAATGCTGAGATTGATAAAAGAAAAACGAAGAGTGATGAATCTCGAGAATGAGAGTGAGTCTAGCAACCGTTATTGTGATTTCATCCGTACTGTACAAGTATCTAACAGTACTGAAGATCTTCGTATTTGCAAAATATGTTTAGATTACGTACATTGTTTGTGATCTCTAGACCAGCTCACTCAAAAAAGTTTTACGCATTTTTTTGTATTCGGAGAGAGAAACGTGTTTAAATACTGGTAAATTAGTAGAGAAAACACATTTGTACACGTATTTTCTTGAATGAACTTTCATTATATTCATCAATAACTGAGTATTTTTCATTTTTTTAAAGTATTTCAACCCGTTTGACCAAATGTTTCACTTAAGATTCATGAAAGTAAGGAACCAAAATGGAAAATGTAAAAATATTATATATAACTGCTCAGCTCGAATTTGCTGTTCTTTTAAATATACTATCATATGTTCAAGTAAATTTTTTTCCGAAAACTACTTACCACTGCTGAGTTTTTTTGGAAATGGGCCGAGTCCTAGGACCAATTAAAAACCTGTTTCGTCCTCACCAACCTTGGTTATAAGATCATAGTGCTATTACTGTTGCGCGGAGTAAGATAAGTATGAGCAGAATTTTGTTGTTGTCACTATTGAACAGACTGTAACCCAATTTTGTTTGATGTCAAATAAGGTTAACGATAACAATAATGTAAGATACGATAGGAAGAAAAGAAGGAAAAATAAGATCTATGAAATCAATCACTATACAACCTAAATTCGTCAAAATAACACAATGAAATTCAACTGATTCCGTTTGGTCAACATCATAAAAATAGCATAAAGATATATAAGAACTATAATAATTAAGCGGATGAAAATTGCTCTTTATCATTTTCCCTAAAATGCTAACAAAATTCGAAACAATGAGAGCTCATTCGAGAGCAACAAAACTGGATATCCAAAAGGGACAATGTTATAATATTAGTTCTATGAAACTCAATATATCAAAGAATTGGATTGGGAGAATAAGAAGAACTTTTAATAGAGTATGTACTGGTAATAGTATTAAATGAAAAATACTATACAGAGTATACACAATAAGATAAACTCCTATGCTTATCATATGTATCTTTACACTACAAAATGTTTAAAGGCTTATAATGTTGTAAGAACGTCTTTCACAAATGAAATAATCATTTTTTTTGTATATATTTTGTATCACATTCGCCTCGTTACCAAAAGTCATCTTTTTTTGGGCTAATTTTCGTGAACCAAAAACGATGACAGAATTAATAGATGGCTTCTAATGAGACCAATGAATGCCAGTAGACTTATTAAAATGGAATATATCAAGTGAATGTTATACGTCATCTTGGCACTTTTGTGATCATCAACTGACTTGAAAGAAAAAATAACGATATAAAGAAAAGGGAAGTGCAAGCACACTTGAACACATCTATAGGCTCAAACGAATTGTGTATCAACAACATTTTGGTTGCAAAACAGAAAAAAATATCTGTTTCGCTTGTCCGTACAATTTTTTTACATTGAGTGAAAGGTTGCATGTTTATTGAAACGTTCTTCCCCTGCCGTTTTTTTTTCGATTGTGTTATTAAAATATATTAGATCCGGTTTAAAAAGAAAAAAACTTCAGACCAATGGCCACAACCATGACTTTCTTTTGCTAATTGAATTCATACCCTCGGATTCATACATGAAAAAAGAGAAGCAATAAAACTCGAATTTCTCCGACCCACGGGAAAATGGATCTTTAAAGATTTCTTTTCAAATGTTAACTAAACATTTTTTTTAAGAGTATCAACACATTTGTCCTTGCACAAACAGCAAATTCGTAAAAACGCCAGCTGAAAAATATGTCCAGTTTTGACTTTTTTATTGAAAAGAAATCTTGAAACTTCACATTTGTCTGTTATTGTAAGATCTATTATCGGAAGAAATAAAAGAATACTGCCTAAACGTCCACGAAGGTTTTCTAATAAGGGATACTCTCTTCGATCTAAATTCCAGAGAAATCCAGAAAGATCATTTGGCAGACAATTTGAAAGTTCTATGGATAAATTTTTCAAATGCGTTTTCGTCTAGTTGAATCATCTAAAACTGCACACTTCCTTTTCGTTTCAAAAAAATATCAGAAAACGAATATTGGCCGGTTTTTTTCTTTTAAAATATTTAAAAAAACCAAACAACATTCTCAAGCGAGATGAATAATCCATTTGTTCCTATCTTGATCTTTGACACACGATCGAACTTTAAAAAAATAATGTGGTTTAACAAGAATTTCTTCTTCATCGAAAATAGAATAAGATATCATATCAAAACCTTCATATTGATTGATTTTTATCACAAACAATACATTGCCAAGTTCTTCTGCTTTACTGCGATTTCGACTTGTGGAAGTAAATGCTGGAAACTCAATCCAAGGACGATGTCTTCTCTTTTTCATTGCTTGTTTTTCAAATTGTTCAATTAAATGCATAGATAAATTTGCTCCACGATATACGATATTTATTTTTTGTTCAAGTTTTTGATCTTCATATCCATCCCACAGAAGAATTGCGAATGCTCCCAATGTTGGTACGTGTTCTCGCCAAACTTCACCCGCGCCAAAGTCAGCTGATAATCGCATGTATTCATTTAGTTTGACATAGAGAAAGGATTCTTTACAATAAAGCCATGCACAACATTGCCATGTATTTTTTCGATCCTGTTGAAATTGTCGAAGAATGTCAGCCATTTCTTCTCCATCATGTTTCTTTCCTGCTAATGCTCCTTCAATGATTAAACCATCAGCAGCTGTCTCCACGAGCATTGTACGCTTGTCAGGCGATATAGCTTGGCCCAAAAGAATGTCAAAATGATCAAGAGAAGCTTGAATGAATGATGATCTGATATTGACCTCTCGATATTTCATAAATGGACGCGTAGGTAAAAGAGGATCAGCAAAGAAACGTTCTTCTCTCACTTTCTTTCCATCAATAGTTCCATCGATCGTCACTCGTCTTATGGGACGTTGTTTTTGTAAATTGGTATTAGAAATTTGTATCATATGTACGAGATCTATATGATATGCATCGAGTAGAACTTTTTTTTCATGTTTTTGATAGGCTTCTTCAATTTTCATTGTCTCAAGATTAGTATAACATTTCCAAGTTAACAGATTTGTGTTAGAACGCCATTGCCATTCGTAAGACATGACTGTGAAGTTTTGTGTCTTCAAATGTGTTTTTATTTATCATATCGACTTTTCCCATATAAAGGGTATGTTGGAAGAATGATGAAATGCATATGTATTTTTGCTTTTTTTCTTTATCGCCGTGCTTCTTCTATCATATGATCGAGCAAGGCATTGGAATAGGATACAGGAAAGAAAGGATGGATTTGCCAGTATATATACGTGAATGCTATATTCATACGCACACGCATGTACACGTAGCATCGTTTCTTTGCTTTTCCTCTTGCTTCTTCTCTTCCCCTCTCGCGCATGCCAACAATGAAGGCAAGCAATAACGAGATAACAGAGAAAAAAGAATAAAGTAAGCATATTTTCTTTCGCATCTCTCGCTCTATAAAGAAACTATTCTACATAGCACCAAACTGGTAGGATCTGACTTGACCTAGTATAGATCATTTTAATATCATAACAAGATGGCTTGTTCGCTTATGAGATTATAGATTCGACTTTTTTTTTGATGTAGAACAAATGTAATGCGTTATTTTATCCTTTAATTTTATACAAGTTAGACTGAATTATTGTGTACCTATCTAAGCAAACATATCAACACATCCTCCTACTTTTGCTCGTGAGACCACTGCAGTAATTATTCTGTCTTTTAAGTTGTTCTATTGTTATTATATCAAAGAGACCGAACAGAGAGTAGAATGAACATTTATGGCTGTGCCATAAATAAGATCTACCTCCGCTTATTTTGATGAGTAAAGCAATAATCATTGTCTTCTTTTTTTTCACTTGTGGCTATGCTCCTCTTTTTCATCTTTTTTTCTTAGCCGAGGAGCATAATAGGACATAAGAATTTTACTGTCCTTTCTGCGTATAATAAAAAGACCGGCATAAAACAGTTCTCTAATTCAATTTCTGGCCAATGGTAAACAAATTAATTGTTATATTAGACATCAACTCGCTATTCAAATAGTTCGTTCGTTCAATCTTTCTCTCTTTTTCTCTCGTCAAGGAAAAAGATCATAAACCAAATGGGTGAGGTAGAGCAATGATACATTTCTTTTCATCTTTATCTTTGTTACTTGCACGTGTGCTGTATCGATGTTGCTTGCAGAGTAGAAAGGAGAGGATGTGGGTGTGGATGTAGAAGAAACCAATATCCTCACACGCACTCACACCTACACATACGCTCACAACCACACCCATACCCCACACTGCACATCCCGCATCCACACCCACTCACATCTATGCACACATCCAACTATTCTAAGCAATATGTTGAGAATAAAGAGCATAAAATAACAATCTATCTATGCTCTTTAGATCGTTTATGTCCCAGAGAGTCTATTCGATGGTGAGTTTAGAAAGAAATAAAATTTTGTCATGTTACGGTCTTGTTCGATTCTAGAAGAACTCCTCTCCTAACAACTATTGAGAGAGCAGCCAGAAAAGGCTCAAAATTTTGATTAATCATGGCATCACATTTATGGATAAAAAAAGAAAAGAAATGTGTCAGAATATTTCATCGAATGTGCACACTCAATCGACAAAAAAATCAGTCTTTTGTTTCGACTAAGAACAATCACTATTTGGACACAAGTAAAAGTTATTTCGATTCTATATTCCTACCACTGTCATGCGCTGACGACACACGGGACAAATGCGTGTGATCAACAACCAATGGGCTATACAACCTGGATGGAACGAATGACCGCATTGAAGTAGTCGTACTTGTTCATTTGGTTGAAACTCTGTTTGACAAATGGTACTAGAAAAAAAAGGTAAATAAAAATAATCAAATTTCTTCTGTGTATCGTCTCTAACCATTGAGTCTGATCGAATTGATTAGATTCTGCACTAAAGGAGACCATTGGCAAAGCGTCAATGCTCTCTTGTCTTGCCGGAGGATTGGGAGTGATTGGAACAGGATTAGTCGGCAATATTTCCTGATCAGAGCGAAAAATAATCAAATGCAAAATATCAAAATATTGCATACTCGAATAGTTTCAAGCAACGGAACGGAGATAGAGGCAGGCAAACAGGTTGCAAGAAGAGATCCGCAACAAATGCCAATACAACAGAAAACACACATCAACAGTATTATAATAGGTGGTGCAATAGTGCGAATCCATTGCCATATCAACAGAGTTTTATATAAATTGGGTGCCACTAAACGGCAAGATCCACCCGAACGAGGTTTAAAGAGAAGTATAGCACCAACAGAATTATAATAGATAACAGCGAGATTTATAAAACAGCCTAGTGCATAGATAAGAGTTAAACAACGGAAGATGAATGTTCGCCAGCGAGTCAAACGGAAAAAGAGTTGATTCAGCACGCAAGTGAATACGACCGTACACAATGCCCCACCGGTTAAAATAAGTCCAACGTCGGCAAATGATTTGAGTGGAGTATGGAAGTAAAAATCACTCATGTTGGTGAATATACACTTCTGATCCTGGATTTTGATCGTGGCAGGTGCTACAGTGCCCAAATAAGGGATAGAAAAAGCGCTCACCCAGAGAATAATTAAGTATTTTATAAACAACGATCGCCTTACGGGTAATGCAGGTTGGGGTATCCTAATAAAAAGAAACATCCATGTACTAAAACATACAATACCGAGACAAAAGCGAACGAATTCACAGTTAGTATTTGTCAGCTTAGTCGATGTAAATACATAGGAGGTACCAATGCAAATGACTACAAATTTGAAAATAATAAAACAGCCACGTAGAATAGCTGCTACTCGAAGTCGTCTCGATCTTTCTTCTTCTTCTAACGATGACGAATAGCGCAAGAGAAAGGCAATAATAATGACAATATCGATGATATTGAAAATGAGTAGAAGAATCGATGTAATACAAAGAGAATTGTTGAGACCACATGTGTTACCGCGATGATAGAGACCAAAAGAGAGAAGACTTATGTCAATGAGACGCAAGGGTAGTTGAAGTAAACTACCCGAGAAGGCTTGATTGAGTCGAGTAAATGAATCAATCCATGTCGATGAATGATCAGTGCCAGTCGCATCCGTCGGTTCCATCGATGTGACACGACTGTAAGTACGTGCTAGGCGAGAAACCGTTTGACTAGCATTATCAGTGTTATTGACAGGTGCTGCAGACATAATAAATTAAGATATAAAATCTGAAAGAAACGAAGAGCAAAAGACTTTAGTTCGAACTCTGACAGAGTGTGGGATGCGGATGGGGATGCAACGATGGCGGTGGTCCACCGGTGCACCGTCCCCTGGTATCACCGGTCTACCGATCCATCTTCTACCGGTCCACCGTCCGCTGGTGCATCAGTGTCACTGATCCAAATGTTCTACGGTGGCTGTTACTAGAGATGCACTAGTTTTAATTATTACTTCTATGGAATTCAAATCGATTGGAGATCTGTAGTTGCCAACACATAAACAGTTACTTTATGAGTTACTAAGTGGCGGAAATTTCTCAGGTTTGATTTTCTCGTCAAGCCGCGAGTTTTATAGAAAAAAAAAATTTTTTTTTTTTATAAAGTCTAACAAAAGGTTTTTGGGTGAAGGAATCCGAATCTTTAATCAGTTTCTGAAATCAGACTCAAACTTTCCAAAAGCCGATCACAAATACAAACTCCTCGACTCTGAAAAATTTTGATCCAGCTTTATAAAAAAAGTTGTTATTTTCTATAAAAGCCTTTTATTTAGTAAAAAACATTAAACTCAAAATTTTCAAAACTGATTATAAATTCGGATTCCCCGATCTCGAATACTATCGGTTAAACTTTACCAAGAAATGGTTATTATCGCATGATAGCTTTCCTTTGACAAAGAAACTAAATACAGGCATTTTTCGTTTCCCAGTGACTGAAAAGTAACTGTCTATTTATCGGTAATTTCCCATCTGTAATCAGTTCAAACTTCGGCTAATTCAAATTTCAATCCGTTCAAGTTCTATTTGAACTGACCAAGACCGATTCCAAGTCAACAGTCGAAATTGGAGTTAGTGCGTCTCTATCTACTAGGATCTATCAGCAACTTTCTCAAACTGGAGAAATTGTTCAGCTCACTGCGATGTGCCTTAAAATAACACAATAATCACATGAAGTGTACAGTGAAGACTGCTCTTTTCATACAGCTCGCATCTGCTCGGATAGACGTACTGGAAATGGTAAAAACTTCGTACGAACATTTGATAATGCATTTTCAAGTATTGCGGGTAAAATCGGTTTAATCAGTGAACACCTGAAGAACCAAGTATTTGTAAAAGACGCGAACACCCAGGAACACCTCCAAATCGGGAACTGATATGTTCAGTAGATGGAGTTCCGTGAACTGATTCTACGAGCATCCAAACTGGTTGAACATTAAAGTAATTGTCCAATGCATACTATTTTTTCGAACCTACGAACATTCATATCTTTTGCCAGTAAGTAGCCCTACTCATGCATGTGAAGTACATGTCCAAAATATTAGGCTTTTCTATGCTTGCCTATGAAACATAGCAGGGACGTACTTTTTCAATTTTAAGTCTTAAAATTGAATTTCACATATTAGCCATTCCACGTAAATCACGACCGGATCTGCTCAATTTAAGATATTGTTGTGGAGGGAAGAGTCTTATGAATTCTGATGCAATCCATTTTGAAAGATATTGAACCGTCAGTTTTTTGTGGATGTTTTATGAAAAGTCCTAAAAACCTACGTTTCGGCCACCTGGGCCTTGACTGGACCATAACTTAAGATTTGTTCAACTGGTTGAGCTGAAATTTTTTGTGGACATATATCTCTATGAGTTCTACTCACGATAAAATTTTCAACTCACAATATTGAGCCCCTACCATTTTATGATACATCCAATATTGGCCAAAATCTAGATTCTGGGCAACTTTGGTGCTTCCTAACGCGTCATTGGAATAAGATCAAGATCTAACATTTTTACTGGCGATAGGCTTTATAAACACACACATTCACGAAAAATTCTAGCCATTTTCACTCTTCCTTTCGATCAGTAAGATTCTCTCGAAAATGGGGTGTTGACTAAGTTCCCTATACTGTGCCAAGGCTATATCCCAAATTATGAGTTCGTTTTGGAGCTAGTTTTACAATAGTGGAAGACCTATTTATGGTCCTCAACCCTATAAAAAAATCAGCCTGAAATCTTCGAAAATAACCTAGAACAGGAATCACCTTTGAAAGGCCAAATGAGGTAGTTATCGAGAAAGGAGCTTTACATCTAAAATTCCAATTGGAGATGAGTGAGAGTGTGAACGTGGTCTCTTCTTCGTCCACGTCTACCCACTCGCAGTCACACCCTTACCATGATGTTTTACTGCTTAGATGTGCGTTAGGTGTGAGTGGGAACATGGATGTGGCTGTGTGTGTGAATGTTATTGTGATTTTAGTTGCG